CATACAAAACAATTATAGTCAGTAAATTATTAATACTTGCCTCAGCAGGGGAGATATCAAGTTTGTTTGGACATAGCTGTGCTCATAATGTTTACACCACTAACAATTACAAAAAGGAAAAAAATATTATATACTTGTTTGAACTGATGCAACTTAAGGGAGCTAACTCTTAAAATGTACATTTGTGTCTTGTGTGGTTCCAGAAAATATCCATACCCACCCCACGGAGGGTTTTTCCAGTTTGACCCCCTACCCCCAAGGATTTTCCATTCCAGGGGGCTTCACAATACTCTCCCTACCCCCTGAAATTTCCATGATTTTTCTACTTGCCCCCCCCCCTACCCCTCGGAAATTCCGTATCCATAACAAACAAGACTTAACTCATTAATTGTAATAAAATTTAGCCGCAGCTGTTTATAGTTACATTGTAGGCAAAGACACTTTTTCACCATAGACTGCAGACGTGGCACGTTCCTCCATGTCATGTTAAAATGTTTGAACCTGTGTCTAAACTAATAAACAACTGACTTAGAAGTGCTTCACTCCCAAATGGCATAGCAGCTGACTTTTTCTTCATTAAAGGAAGTTTTCATAAAAGAATCTCTTAACGTAATAAAGCTCTTTCAAATAACCGAGTCAAAGTTTTAATTTATGCATGGTCAAAACAACATATCAAATTACTTTACACACGCAGTAAAGTCGTCACGCAACATTTTTTTCAAAACAGCTGTTTCCTGAATGTCGCTTTATTTTTTCTTTCACCAGAGGAATACATCAATTAAGTCATACGCTTTGTCTCTGTAGTTTGTAAATGATAATAAATTCATTTTACATGTGTATGCCTTAGTTTTTTGAACTGTCATACATTTCATACGAGAAACACGTATTGATCAGTCGGTCTATAAAAGACTGAAAGAAATCTTGGCTACCGCTCCAATTACAACGCTCCTCGTTGTCCACGTTTACATATAAATTATAGTTCAAGACAAATGGCTTGGAATTGACTTTGCTCACTTAAAGCAAACTATTAACTACATGGATAACGATGACAAATATGTCATAACCTCGTTACGACAAGTCCGAAAGGGGGAATAATTTTGTACGACAGGGTTCGTACCCTTTTTCAGAAACAAATTTCCAGGACTTTTCAAGGACTTTTCCAGGACTCTAAAATTCACATTAACCCTTCCAATCCCAAGATCTCAATGTTAATTCTCCTTACTGTCTGTCATACATTTCATATTTTTTACTTGAGTTTAACAGATTTCCAGAACTTTCCAGGACCAGTAGCCTTTTTCCAGGACTTTCCAGTCCTGGAAAATGCCACAACAAAATTCCAGGACTTTCCAGGTTTTCCAGAAGTACAAATTGCATTTTAATTGACGGCATGATTAATGCTGGAAAAAGCATCTGAGCTGCATGTAAGCTAAATACAGCATGATCTTCAAAGTTTAAAATATCATTAACTTCATTGTTCATGTATTGATATTCAACTTGACATCCAACAAACACGATACTCAGGATTTCTGTCTGTCATACGACGTCGGAAGAAACATGA